TGTGTGTGTGTGTGTGTGTGTGTGTGTGTGTGTGTAGATTGGACACCACACTGATAGACTTCACAGACATGAAGTGCCAGCGCGGTGACCTCAGCTTCATCTTCAATGGAAATGCCGTCCCCTCCGAGTCTTTTGTTGTTCTAGACAACGAACAGAAAGTTTACCAGCGGATACACCACGAGGTGTGTGAGAGTGTGAAAGTGTAAAGCCTCATTTACACAGTGTTCATTACAACACATATTTACTGCCTCAATTCATCATGAAAACTTGTTCCTATTTTCCTTCAGCCATATTCAAATATCTTGTTTTGGTGTGTTGTGGCTTTCAATCGTGTTGATGCTCATGTTCTGTAACTCTAGGAGTCAGAGATGGAGACAGAGGAGGAAGTTGACATCCTGATGAGCAGCGATGTTTACTCTGCCACACTCTCCACCAAGTCCATCACTTTCTCAAGGGCGCAGACTGGTTGGCTCTTCAGAGAAGACAAGACGGTCGGTGTCTGTTATTGTCATCCATTTCGTTAGAGTGATATTATTATTGTTATTCCCACTTTTCCAAACGCTGCTCCGGGTCACAGGGTCTCACCAGCTTGAGGAATTCCCGGAATCTTCAGCAGCTTTTCCCAGACACAAAGTTGGAAATTTGATTAATTCTTTTGGAAAAGCAGGAAATGGAAGGGAGACGGTGCACAGGGGCTCAGTAAACAGATTTATATCAGTGTGTAATGTACACAATATGTTATGCTTTAAGCAAACCAGACAGTTGACCCCTGGACCTGTAACTTCTCCCATCTGAAAAAATTCACTGACAAGCAAACAAAGAGTGACAGAATATTTAAGGTCATGAAAGGTCTTATATGGAAACCCAAAGAAACCTGATTGATCCCTTCACTCTGTCTTTACTCTTCTCCGTTTTATTTGACTTGCTTGATGTGTAAATGTTGTTTTCTGGGTCTTCTTACTATTTTACCTTGGACTCCCTCCTCTTTCCTGATCGTATGTCCTGTGCTTCATACCAACACCAGGCAGGAAAAGACAGTAAATGAATTGGGGTAGCAGCAGTGATAACCCCAGGAAGGAACGGCAAGTGATAGGCTCAGGGTTAAAAACAACACAGACGGGGTTAGGGAGACGTGGAGGCGGTGAACGAGATATGTGGAAAATGCTCCCTTGTCCTTTTGACGTGTGTTTAAAAGGGAAATTGGTGGCTCAGCAGGGGGGGGACTTATCTCGCTGTTTCTTCTATCTCAAGGAGCGCGTGGGAAATTTCCTGGCAGATTTCTACTCTGTGAACGGCCTGGTCCTCGAGTCCAGGAAGAGACGCGAGCATCTGAGCGAGGAGGACATCTTGAGGAACAAAGCCATCATGGAGAGCCTGAGTAAAGGAGGGAACCTCATAGAGCAGAACTTTGAGGTGAGTTAGGCATCGAGTCTGGATGATTTTCACTGAGACGGAGTGTTTACAGCATCTGTCCACAGCTGGTGTGTGGTGCTACAGAGCCAAAACCATAATTACCTATGACTGGGTATAGATGCTTTGGGTTGTAGGGCCACATTGAGCACGAAATCCACAAACCCCCTCCATTGTGTACCCACACACATATATTTTTAAAGATGGCTATAAGGGGTTCCATCCGACCACGTCTGTAACTTTCCAGAATCAATGATCCAATGTTCTGCCAGCTGAGCAGAGGTCAGAGAGGAGTCAAGGGTTGAACTTCTCGGTAGCTCTTTTTTCCATTTGTTATTTATTTCTGGATTTTAACTCTATGATCCCTTTGGAATGAATTAGTGTGAAGGACAAAAGACAACATCTGTATGTAGTGTCAGCTTTTTATGTTTTCTGACATGAAAACTTTTATTTACAGAATAAACGTAAATACTGATCACTGATATATTGGAAATGTTTTACTCCCTAATATTAATACATACATATTAGCTGATTTCTACAAATGAGGCCCGTGTCAGATGAAATTTTGTAACACGTAGTCATTTAGTTTTTTTTAATTTACTGCCGAGTGACTGATGTTTGGGTTTAATGAAGGAAGGAAACTGATGAGAAGTAAAATGATGCTGAAATGATAAGTGACTCCTGTCTCTTATTCTCTAGTTTGGAAACTGTCAGGATTTTTAATTTAAAGGTACAGTGTGTAGAATTTAGTGATATCTAGTGGTGAAATTGCATGTGGCAGCTGAACACCCCTCACTGCCAATAGATTCTTTTCTCCTAAATCTTACACACTGAATCAAAACTACCACACAGAAACATATAGTTCCTGGTTCCCTTCATATACGTGGCTGCATTTAACTGCTTATGATTCATATTTCAGTTTGAGACGTGATGTACAGTCTCCGCAGGTTTTATTTCATTATTTCAGTGTTCCTCATTTAAAAATCCCTTCAGGGCGTTTTGTTACAGGATCTCTTCAAAGGCTCAGTGTGTAGAATTTAGTGAAATCTAGTGTTGAGGTTCTCTGTATTTAATATAAATTGGGCATTCAAGGGTAAAGAAAACAACAATTCGAACAATTTAGATGAAACACACTGGTGAAGACATCACTAGGATTATTTTATATTCATATTTTTTAGTTCCCTTTCACCTAAATCTTACACACTGAACCTTGAAGTGATGAAGTTACAGAGAGTGAGGAGAACTGTGTGTTTAAGCTGTAACTCATGGAGCTTGGTTTGGATGTTGTCTCAGGGTAAAATGATAAGAAGAGTGCAGATAGAAACACTGAGAACCAGATGGGTCACAGTCTTCTCCCCGGTTAAACATCCTGTTTACTCATACCTCCTGCAGTGTAACCACCAGTCCAGCCCTGAAACTGTCCTGTCTCGCTGGAACCTTGGGGTAGGACATAAGTCTCAGAAAAACAAATCCACCTCACACCACCTCCCTGCTGTATGTGCGCAAAGATCAATCCTGTAGAAACAGCATGGCCCCTCGACTCTATCAATCCATTTTGCATGGTTTATTGAAAAATTCCAGTCTCATTCCCCCACTGTTGTTTCTCTAATGTCTCCAACATGAGACGCTGCTCTGGTCACTTCTGTTATGAGGCAGGTTTGCTCCCCTCCTCATTCACTTTGCATGGAATCGAGTCCCCAGCACTGCCACATGGTGGTGAAAACTACACCGGCACCTTGTTCAAGGGGACAATTCCTATCACCACCCCCCTCACCTCACTACAGTATGTTCCAGAGTTTGCTAAGCAAGCCCTTGTCCACACACGGAGCATAAAGCCCGTCACAAAGTGAAGACAAAGCCTCCAAACACTCAATAGATCTTTTTTCACTGCTCGTCTGTGTTTTTGTCGACCCCCCTTGTTCTGTGCTGGGCTTTGTCTCATCACAGTATAATATGATGTGTGTCAGTGTAATAATCTGAATTACATCTGACGTCAGATGATTCTCTGAATCTGATCTGACTCAGATTTTTAGGGTGCCTTGCTGTCGATGTGGAAATAACTTCTCCCTTCATGCTTGTGGAAAACGATACATGAAGGTGGGTGAGAGGTAAAAAAGCAGCTGCTGTGACGTAGGTGTGTTTACCACAGAGAGGGACAGAGGGTCAGCTCTGTGCCTGTCGACACAGGAAAGCGTGGGGAGGCTTTTCAACGGGGGCTTGACACCATTGATCTCATGGCCGAAGGCTAAAACCCCTGGTGCCATGGAATGATGGAGGGGGGAGCGGTAAGCAGCATACCAGCGTATCAGGGCCTCTGCAGCCTGTGTGTACTCTGTCCTCGTCACAACAACACGCCAGAGCTGATAGGCACAGTGTGAGCGCGAGCACCTAACAAAGCAGCTGAGCAGAAAAATTCACCAAAACATCTCTGTGGTGGCTGCACTGTTGTGGGAAATGAAGGGGAGACATGATATTGTCTCTGTTGTTATTCTCACCTCAGACGACTGACTCTTGGCACAGGCAGGCGTCTCATCACTCGCCACATTTTCCCACATTATTCTGCCCTAGTTGCCTTGTTTAACCACAGAAGAGGTCAGCTGGCCTGAACATTCAGATTCAGAGAAAATACATGTTCGGGGAAAGTAGATGGAGCTCATCCCAGCTCCAGTTCAGGGTCAGCTAGAAGAGATTGTCCTATCTCAAAATAAACTGACATTGGAGGCAGAGTTGAGATCGTTTTCCACAGAAAGTTTAAAATAGAATATATGTTTTTAAAGGAAATGTGTACAAAAATATATTTTCTTTATTCAAGTATATATTTGGTAGAATTTGTGTTTTGTTTTTATTCCTAGGTATTCATAAAAAGGTTTGTGGTTAAACTAAAGCCTCAATTACATTTCAAGTATTTCACAACTTCTTAGGAATATTGTTTGAGTTTTTGAACGATATATAAATGAGCTAATAAATTGCTATCAGTATTTTTTTACTCCCTATTATCCATTATCTATTTCAGCTGTAATCTAGTGTGGATGATAAACAGGACGCTGATGAAACAGTACTTATATTTTATTTTATATGTATTTCTATATTTTATTTCATTCAGATGATTCTGATTTGTATTCTCACTTCAAAGTACATCTTGGAGTGTGAGTAGATGAAACTATCACTGTTGTTAATGAGTATTTGTATGTATATATTGTACCTGTGTATCTTTCAGAAATGTACTTATAGATCTGTTGTAGGTTGTAGATGATCGTATTATGAGTGCTTTCATTCAGTTACTTCCTGTGGTCGACTGTCTGTATTGTCTTTATGTCCATTCATCTGTTTGTCCACCATCAGCGTCCTGTCCTCAGCCACAGATATACACGTGATATAAGTGTGTGAATGAAAGAGCGTGACGTGTCGTCTTATCCTACTTTTATTTCTCACCGTTGTATTTGTAGAAAGACTGTAAGATTAAGATATAAACACTGGTTTTCAGGAGGTTAAGCTAAGAAACTTAAAACAACATCACATGTTCAGTATTTGACTGAAAAGGTTTTATTTGTGTTTCACTGTGCGGCTGAACGAGGATAAACCGTGGTTTTACTGATCCACTGAGGCCCTCTAGTGTCCTGTGCTGGGCTCTGTGGAAATCCATGAATAAAGACATAAGAACAAAATGTTTAAAACAATTTAAAGAGCAAATCAAGATCTTCTTTCCCAAGTTGACAGCTCACAGGTTTGGGCAGAGGTTTAGTCTGAAATCTGGCCTCAACCTGTTTTATTTTGTTTTTCTCTGCTTCTCAGCCCGTGAGGAGACAATCTCTAACCCCCCCATCACCCAACACTATATCCTGGGAAGAATACATCAGTGCTGACAATGGAAAGTAGGTTTCTAAACACATGAAAACTTCGATTGTACTTTTTACAGAGAAAACCAGAAGAATTAGAAAACAAAATGTTGCTGTAAATCACAGATTTTGTGTGCAAATAAAATTAAGATGAACAGCGAATGGAAATTTTCAACCAACAGCGGATGCAGAAGAATTAGAAGAAGGCCTCAGTGATCTGACGTCAGTCTGAGAGGATATTCTGACAGTTTGTTGTTTCTGTCTCGTGTCAGAGCTCCTCATATAGGACGAGAGCTGATCTGCAAAGAGAGCAAGAAAAACTTCAAAGCAACCATCGCCATGAGCCAAGACTTCCCTCTGGGCATCGAATCGTGAGTCGTCTCTTTAACGATAACATCTAGACAGTTAGTGGAAGACAGAAATGTCTCCTGACGGGAAATATCTGAAAATGTTTTATTCATTGCTCTAATATTTCATGTCCCTCTTACTGTTTGTGTATCAGCAGCGTGTTGTACTTCTGTCCTGTGAAGCTGATACAGTTGTGTTGGAAGATAAGAAAAGTCAAGCTGTTCATGTTATTTTCATTTGCCACTGTTTAAAGTTGAGAGTTTGGACGGTGGATTTCGACAGTGTCGGTCTGGTTTTGTTTATTATATTTTACTTTTTAAATTTATCAATTTAAATGTATTTTTATTTGTACAGACATTTGTATCAGATAAAGTAGGTTTAGTTCAGGATGGGGAGTGAGCCTGTATGTACATGTTAATATGTGTATGAGTATGAATTATTATTGATAAAATGTTGATTCTGTTATGGACCGTCTTGAAAACGAGATGGTGCATCTCAAGGGGTTTTATCCTCTAATTTAATTCGTAAAAAGAAAAAAAAGTTAAGTTATACTGTTGTATGAATTATTTAAAAAGTGATGCGCTAAATTAGCATATCCATATATATAAAAATCAATAGCTCTAAGCTAAATATGCCAAAATCTAACAATGTAGTATTAACAACTGGCGAAACCAGCTTTATTTTTGTCTGGATTTCATTGTTGATTTATTTTCTGAATCATTTGTTCGTCTTGTTCTGTCTCAGGTTGTTAAATGTTCTGGAGGTGATTGCACCCTTCAAGCACTTTAATAAACTCAGGGAGTTTGTGCAGATGAAGCTCCCCCCTGGTTTTCCTGTTAAACTCGGTAAGTAGATGTAAATAAAAGAAAGAGGTATGAACCATCTTTAGGATTATCTGACAGTTTGCCTGAAACATAAATCGAGGATCAGCAAACTGAAGGATGTGGTAACTTCATCCAGTACGTTTAAAACATGGAATCAAATCCCCTGGAGATGGTGTGACTTCACGAAAACAAAGAATATGATATTGGTTTAATTTGTGATTGTGCTCCTGCCTCCATGCAGACATCCCGGTCTTTCCGACGATCACGGCCACGGTGACGTTTCAGGAGTTTCGCTACGACGAGTTTGAGGAGACCGTTTTTACCATTCCTAATGAGTATAAAGAAGACCCCAGCCGCTTCCCCGACCTTTAACCTCTCCACGCTGGGAAAGGAAACACATTTACAACAAGGCAACATTCTGCTACAAGACATACTTTTATAAAAATACAAAACGAAAAACAAACGGCGATAATCGCTTCTTCACAGTTTATAGATTCCATCGGACGTTCCAGACTCTGATCACAAACCAACGAGCAGAGTTTGATGAACATGACGGAGCTGACAGAGACGTCAACACCTGATGAGAGTGAGCGTCTCATCAGTGAAAGGGCAAGTTGAGTGAGTGAGAGGTGAGTTTCCTGGTGACGGGGTGTGAGAAGACGACCAGCTCAGCTGATTTGCCGTAGTCACGTCTGTGAGGGATGTTTATAAATGACTGTGTTAAACTGACCTGTAGTGAAGCACTGATGTTACTGTGTGACATGTCGAGGAGGAAGTTCACTAAAATTCAGTTTTTCAGCTTCTTTTCCTACTGAAGTAAAAAAAGAAAACTCTCAAGGTGCAAAGTCATTTTAACTTTGTGACATTAGATGTAAAGGTCAACAACATAAAACTGTACATAATCTAATCCAGATGTTTCAAACACATGTGGGGGGGGAATGAAATCATCTTTTTTTTTTACTCTCACTTCTTGAACATCATCAAATGTAAAAGTTTTCCCAAAGAGAAACACTAAACATTTAAGATTCACAAAACTGAAAATCTGTTCAAGTCGATCTTTTACTGTTGTAGGTTACAAAAATGGAAATCGACGATGATTTTCATGGGCATGAAGTAGCATCACTGACCTCCTGGGCACTGTTTAGATCCACTACGGCGACTGTGCGTTCAGTTGAGTTCACTTTGTGACGCTCAACGCTAAGTTTGTTTCTAAAAATATTTTTAATGGTACCACAGATTTTTTTCTCTGTCTGAGCAGCGGCGAGCGTAAGTTCTGATGTGCGAGCGTTTTGTTTCTGACTTCACTTTTTGTAAACTATGTAACAAACGGACGTTGTACAGATGTAAGACGTTAGGGAATGAATGACAACAACATTCACGACATTTTTACACTTAACAAGAACCAGGATTTTTCCTCCTGCACAATAAGTAAATACACGTTTTATTGCTTTTGTCTTTTTATGTTTTCTCATAAGTTGTGAGTTGTGGAATATTTTTTAGTGTAGCGTCACACAGGTCCATTTATTTGGTTTGTAAACATGGTGGCAGTTGCTATTTTTGTACATATTTGTGTTGTTTTAAAGAAAATATGAAAAATCTTTAATTCCTCCTGTCATTCTTTTCCCGTGATAAATTTTACGAGCCTCCTTCAGATGTGTGGAACCAAAAATCCCCTCCCCCATGTGAAAAGCACAAAGCACCGAGGTTCTTAGACAAGTGAGTTCTTAGAGGCGTTCACTGGAGGCTGGGGAAAACCACAGTGAGGTCTGTACCGGTGCTACTATGGTTCATGGTTCATGGTTCATCTTAATGAAGTTGAAACAAATGTTTGACGATGTTCTTCTTGTTCTCTGGTTGTTCAGCATCAACACAAAAGACCAACATGCTTATTTATATCCATATTCAGTGCAGCTGAAACTGTTGTAAAGGTCTGCAACACTATTTTCATAAAAAATTTACTAAAATAAAACTTCCACATATCTAACGGAATTTGGACTCCATGTTTTGTCACATTCTCACAGTTGTGTCAGGAGGAGGACGTAGTTTGACATTTTGGTAAATGTGGTTTATTGTAATTAGAAGATTGAGCTGACTGATAATCATATTCATGTCAGTTTAATGTGGAGCTACAGCTGAGACATGAGGTGGTTTGATGTTTGATTACATTTTCAAATGGCACTTTAAAGTTCTACCAACACTTTGTAATGCAGAAGATAATAACACTATATAGAAACCAGTAACATTACTGTCATGTGTACATCGGTTAATGTGTGTTACTCAAATCTTTAAAGGTTTTTCAAAATTAAAATAGCTTTGTAACTAAGGTCATGGTTCTCCTGATTGATGAAATGTCACTAATGTAGAAAGAACTTGTTTTAACAGGGTCTAGTTTAAAAGCTGTTGTAATAACTAGGATAAGGACATCACATAAATAACTCATTGGTGTAACGTGGTCACACACCCTCTAATTCTGCATTTCAAACAAGGGAAATTCATTTTAAGATCCTCATCATTTACGCTCAAATCTTGGTGTTGTGTGGACCGACAGACCCTTTCAGCTCTGCACCTATAATACCTAGTTATTATAAACACATTGTATTTGATTGTCATTCAAGTTTGTCATTGCTAATCTTTTGAATGCAATTTGTACATTCATTTGTTTGACCAATGATATGTGCGATGAACTGTTGTCTCTGCTTGTACTGAAAATGTTATAACGAGACAGAAGCAGCAGCGTAAGAATCACATCAGACGACAACTTGACATGCATGTTCTATAGTTCTGTGCAGTTGCCAGGCAACCAGAGAAAATGCCTGTGTTGAAACTTCCCTCAATTTTTCAAATGATGAAACATGTGGACAGTAGGATCCGATTTTATTTGTTTCCTTTGGAAAACCTATTTCAGACAAAGTATTTCATTGCAACATATTTCAGTCTACAGTGTACAATTACAAAGCGCTGTAAATAGGAAGGTCAGCTGGACAACGACTGGGTGCATTACATTTGAAGCAAAAATGGTTCCGCAACCAAAGAGGAAAATAAAAGAAACAGGAAGCTGGTGCAGCGTCACTAACAGTCTAAGGGAAAGATTCCGTCCTGACCAGTAAAATATTTACAAATGCAGCCGTTCAGAGGAAAACGCTGCGTATTCTACTGTCAGGAAGACAACATCTGAACTCAAAGCAAAAATCAACAGGATCTTAAAAAAGTACATCGATGACAATTTAAAAACAGGTCTCGTGTTATTCATATTTTAGTCCTCGTTTTCTCACGTCTTTACAAAAATGAATGGACTGTTTTCCTCGACACCCCTCCCTCCCCAAGGCTTCTACAGTTAAGACAACTAATCTTTTTAACCGTGTGATCAGGCACAGACATGTTGTGGCTGATATTAAAAATATAAAAGGACAGTGGAAAGATAACGTTGCCATGTTCACTCTCGGGGGATGTTTTTAATCACTCATCTCCATGTCTTCCTGATGGTGATCGTCTCCGTTCAGTTTGGACTTTTTGGGAATTTGGCCCTCGGACCGCTCCATCTCCTCTCGGCCTTTGGGAGACGAGACCGAGTCGGAGTCGCTCTTCCTCTCGTCGTCATCCTCCTCCACTTCCTTTTCGCTGTCGTAACCTTGTTCCTCCTCGTCATAATCCCGGGTCACCTGTGACGCCGTAATTGAAGGGTGTTAAAAACCAAAAAAGGGAATTTGGAAACTTAATTCCTAGATGTGACTTTCAGTTCCCAAAGTACATTTCAACAACAAAAAAGTCACAAGTACCTTGACGTCTCCTTTCTCGCTGTCAGACTTGCGTTCTCGGTCTCGTTCCTTGTCTTTGCTCTTCTTCTTTTTACTGGTGGAACGTTCTCTTTCGTCTCTGCTGCGGTCCCTGTCCTCCCTCCTGTCTCTGTCCCGCTCCTTCTCTCGCTCCTTGTCCTTCTTCTTCTCTTTCTTGTGACTGCAAACATTATCGATACATAATTTTGTTATCTTTAGCTTTTTACTTTAAATGTAAATGAAAGATGCACGGCACATGACTCAACTTACCGTCTGGGTGATGGAGACCGGGACACCTTCCTCTTGGGGGATCGAGACGCAGTGCGGCTTCGCCTATGTCTCCTGAGAGCCAAACAAACAAAATTAAAGTCAAGGAACAAAATAAACACAAATACTGCTGTATATGTAATTAAGTTATTGGCTCTCAAACTACTGACTGCTAGAGTTAGGTAAAACTGTGCTTAAAGAACTCACCGGCTGATGCTTCGAGATCTCCTGGCACTGCTGTAGCTCTTAGGAGGTGTTTTGGACCTTTTCTTAGACTTTTCCTCCTTTCTCCTGTCCCTGTTCAAGACACAAGCAAAGTTAAAAAATGCTACATAACATTTTGACATCAAGTGGCTGACTCAAGATATTATTATTATTAGACGTAATTTGTTGTAAACTTGTATGTATTAAGCATATTTTCGTGGAATAAATAAGGTCACACTTTATCTCCATATTCATGAGAATGTACTATTGGAGGCCTTGTGCAAATGTGCAGCTACACAGAGGAGAGAAAATAAATAATACTATTCAGAGCCTAATTTTAAATGAACACCACATGCTTTGCATCATTATTAGCTGAAATGTTCCAATCATAATAACAGTTTCATTTTATCCATAGAACTGGATGTACTGGCAGCTTTTGCAGGTAAATGTTTTTGCAGAGCAGTGTGTATTCAGGCAGCCCCCCCCCCTTTCAACTAAAAGGTTGATTCCTGCAGTTTCACAAACTGTGTTTTTTTTTCTTTCTTCTTAAAAAGCTGCTTCATTGGTGCTGAAAACAATAAGAGTTGCTGACCTCGATCGACTGCGGCGGGTCCTCTCCCGCGAGTGGGACCTCCTCCTTCGTGGGCTCTTGGACCTCCTCCTACTCCGAGAATGGGACCTTCGCCGAGACCGGCTCTTTGAACGCCTGCCAAAATAAAGGTAAGAGCATTTTTGAATGATAATAACACAACTGTATTCCGTGTTCATGTTTTGAATGTGGACACAGCTCAGAGCTCATCTCACAGCTGATATTTAAGAATCTTTTAGAAGGCATCCACACCTGTGTCTTGATCGAGATCTGGACCGTCTGCGCCGAGACCGTGAACGGGAGCGGGAATGTTTACGCTTGTCATCTTTCTTATCTACAAAAAAAAAACAATTAAATATCGACCATGCAGTAGAGACCAATTGCTTTGACATTAGAACAAACATGAAATAAATTTACTTTTAATTAGAGTTCAACTACATTTTAGGGTTGAGTTGGTTTTCAGCAAATAAGAGAAACAAACTACTCACTCCCGGGTTCAATGGCTGCAGAAATGAGAGACTGGGCTTCTCGGACTCTCTTCATAGCCTCTTCAATCTCCTTGTTGGAGGCGTCACTCTTCAGCCCTGGATTCAAGTTCAGTCCGGCCGCTAAGGAATTCAATCTGCAAAGAGCCATCGAACATTTAGATTTTTCTTCAAAGAAATATTTGGATAATATACTCTGGATGAGACTGTAGCTCCTTACTTGGGGTCCATGGACTGCATGAGCTTCAGAAAGTCTGCAGAAAGAGCCTGGAAGAGACACTCAAGATGTTAAAACATCAGACATTTTGTTCGAATATGCTGTGACTATGAATGAGGCTCATTGAGTGCTCACCTGGGGGTTCATGTTTGGTCCCTGCATTCCCATGGCAGCCATTTGCTCCATGTTGGGAGCTCCCAGACCTCCGAATGGCGTCCCGCCCATCTGAAATATCGAACAAAGGCAATTGAGATTGAAGGCAAAGCTGGATGAACAGTACCCAACGCAGCTTGATGTGAGAACTCACTGATGCCAGAGGATTGGGTGTTGGGAGAAGGCCTCCACCAGGCATCATTCCTGCCACAGCATTGGCTGGAGCCAGCAGCGACATAGCTTTAGATTCATCAGGAATGACTCCTGGAGAAAAACAACAGCATTTCAATACATGCTCGGAGCATATAATCAACAAACACTCAAGACTTGCAGACAAGCCACCTTAGTCTAACTACACTTTTGTGAAAAATAAAAAAAATAATAATACCACTTTTTGTCTCGTCTGTAAATCTGGATCCCTGACTTTTTTTTTGTGTCAAAGTATGATTGTAGGATTAGCAGCTACGAGTCTAAAAGTCACAATACACACTGTGGTCAACACTGCCAAGATTTTATCACCTGTACTTGTTTTTTAAGTCATGAACCAAACGTAAGCAAGCACAGCCAGTTGTCCCGTGGGATGTGCTCTCAACTTTCATTAGATGTTTTATGAACAAGCGACTCGCGCCGGCTGCTTCGCTATAAAGCACACAAAAACATTGAGATACAGAAAACAAAGTTCATGATTTGGGTGTAGACACAAGGGTACATTTCAACATCACTTACCACTACCAATACAAAAAAAACAGAAAAGGTTCAGTCATTTTACCTTTTCTGGGCTTTTGATTGTGGTTACTTTGTACAATACCACCAGAAGAACAAAGACAAAAAGGCTGATTTGCAACATGATAAAATACTAATACTACTAAGCTTAAGTACTGGTGTTAGCCAACAGTATGTCACAATATAAATACACAATGTCCAAGATAATTTGCACTAAACAGTTAAGGGCCTGTCACAGCAAAAAACTTGAAAAATGTGCCCAAAGCTGAAGAAAAACCAAACAGAAAAATCTTAAAAGGAGATGATCATCCATGGTTGTGCAATCTGAAAACGGGCTATTTTTAAACTGACATTTTTACATTTTAAAAAAAATGAAGGGAGAGAGAGAGGGGGGGAGAGAGAGACACGCTCACACACGCACACACACGCACAACAGAAAGGACACTTGAGAACAGGATAAGGCTGCAGAAGACAAAACTGTTGGTGGCATTTTCAGCAGGGCCTGGTATATAGGGGGCTGGCTGAACCAGGAAAAAGAACTGTAAAACACAACAACAAAAGAAACACCACTGTTAAACGTGAGATTCACTCAACTCTGTCAGAGTCATGTGTGGAGAGGGTCAATTAAAAATATGCATTTTTACTGCAACATCAAGCAGAGGCTGATATAACTACTTTTTAGCTTGTATGTTAGTGGAAATTTGGGAACACAAATGCACAGTCTAAAATACTATGATGCTTTGGCACATGAAGCAAGTAAAAGCCAAAGGCAGCTTGTGCGCTTATGATTAATACCCAAATTATATGCTTATTTACTTCCAAAAAATCAACTGTGTAGATGATAGCACACTTTGGAAATCTAGTCTTGCATGCAGAGCTGATTAGTTAATTTATCTTGCATGCTTTGTGGTGTAGGGAGGTCCCGAACATTTCCCTTTATTTCCAATCTGAGCAAGTTAATAATAGAAAATCTGCCAAAACCAAGCCCCGGTCCAGTATTTATATTTTTTCTTGGTCATGTTTTGTGTACTGTATACTCAGCTTTAACAGGCCAAAAAAGTTAGTGCAGTTGTGACCAGCTCTGCATTAAGAATAAAAGACTCCTACAGTAAAGTAACTAGCTTGTTTGGCTGCTTGCACCTCCCCTCAGGACAGTGTGGGCCTGTAAGACTGATTCACTCGCTTAGTTGCACCTTTTTGAGTAAGACACCTTGAGTTTGATGACCTCAGCAAACTCCTCCCAGATTTGAACAAAATCCACCAGTTACTGAAAATACCTATCAAAGTGTCAGTGTGTGTTTTTCTTTTAAGCTGTGCAACGCCTTCAAAATGTGGCTGAAGTAGAAGTGAAGTGAGCGTTAGTGTGGTTTATCCAGAGTGGGAAAAGGTTGAAAAATATAAACACAGGATAAGAAATGGTTCAAGCTTGACAGTAGATTTTTTTTTTTAAAGCCTTGATCGGCCTCGATTCAGATCTGCTCGGGGCGTCCCTAGGTCGCTGCATGCCTACTTGTCGACATTTAATTTGAAAAATGTAAGTACTTTGAACGTGAGGAATTGAGATTGCCCTGCACCCTCTTCCCCACCCCCTCAATTGACTTAAGAGTCATGTGGCTATTCTGTTTTCAAAGAAAAGATGCCTTGAACAGAGAGAGAAAAATAAAGAGTTAATATTTTACTGCAGAACAAGAGAGAGAAGGCGGCTTGCGAGCCTGGTGCCATTATTTTTTTCTAATCTCCTGATGGCAGCAGAGGACCACTTTCAGCCAGCAGGGAAGGGGCTCTCTGCAAATGACTTGTCCACTATGAAAACCACAACACAAATAACAGAGAGAGAAGTTTACAGCTAGATTGTAAGACATGGACACAAATGCACAAGTCCCTTTTTACATACCTAGAAATGCTAAGCAGTGAAAGGCTTAGCTAAATTTGATTGGTCAAGAAAAACTCAATGGCTCAGATAGCGTTTGCAATGCTGTTTAATACACCTACACATTGTGATGTAACGTTCAGAGATAGCCAAGTGACTGACGTGAGAACAAAACAGGGACCCACCTTCAGCGAAAGGGACCACGATCAAGGCTCGGTCCACGAAGACGGTGTTCGTCAGGTGTTGAGAAACTCCCACCGATTCAGACTCAAGGAACTTTACAAAACAGACACGTGAAGTCACAGGCAAGGGAGAGTCACTGGAAAAAAATACAGATATGTTGTGCAAAGAATAGAAACAAGGAGACCCATCAAGCCATGTTAAAACTGAGTCTGTGTCCCCAGGGACAACTGAGCTAATGAGGGATTACAAGAAAAAAAAAAACTCTTCTGCAGAGACAAACATGACTTCATACTGAAATAAGACTGTGTTCAAACAATATTTTTAGTATGTTGAATTATTTCCACAAATGTTTCCACACGGTTGAGAATTAAGGAACACTGCCAATCACTCATGTTTAGACCTTCTTCTCATTAGATGGATGTGATGTCTTCATCTTGCCTGAAAAGCAGGACATTTCCTACCTGCACAGTAGCCAGATGTAATTCAATAGAAGAGAATACAAAGCAGAGGACAATTATTTCCTAGTCAAATGAAAATACTTCAATCCAGGCATCCTACAGGGATCTGGGTCTTCTAAGGGAGGCACTGATCATCATATTTGCATGTATTCCTCTTATTTATCCATTTCAAATTTTGAGAATGTCCTACCTCAGCTCTTCACTGCCACATCGAGATGTGACAATCATTTAACCAGAGTTGATAAATCTCACAGTTACTGTTCCATTGATTCATTGGAATTCTTTAGAGTGTAAAATATCAAAAGGAAGAATGTTACTAATTTGAAATCATGTGAAACAGAAAAAAAAGCAGAACATGGCTAATGCTTGGTGTGTTTCAGTCAACTCATCAAGAAGGAATCAAACTACATTATCAGTAATTTATGTGATTATTTCTAATGGTTGCAATTATTTTATGATTGATTTCATATCTGATTGATCATTTTAAATCCACATGTCACTTCTCTGTGAATTTTCAGCCTGTTAATATCATTACTGATTGTAAACTGAATATTTATCAGGTTTATAGTTTGAAATTCACACTGTTACTATTTTGTATTTTGATTTTTTGCCAGACGATGAATCGACAACATGACTGTTGTATGTTTGTCTTGATCAGATCGATTATCGATTACTCAACTGAAATAAACTACCCTGCTCATTTCCAGTATTTTTATATCCGTGATTATTAATGATCGTTGTAAAATAAGAAGCCAAACATTTCCAGGTTGCAGCTTTTTAAATTAAAAATCCTACTTCTCTTGTCACCGTTTAACTTAAATCAATTTGTATTACAGACATATGGTGTTTTCCTGTAGATTAGAACGAGCATTTATTAGCTTTACAGTAGCACATGGGAATGAACCAGAGCTGGTGGGGGGATTAATCGCTAATCTTTTTTTTTTTTTGAGGCCGTAAAGATGGTGTGTTCTGCGGGGAGTCGCTCACCGAAGGCGCGGGCAAACATTAGCATTAGCATTAGCACTCGCGAGCGGTGCAGCGGGGCCTGCTCGACGCTACGGGCCCGAAGAGGAACCCGGCGTGGGCGAAGCAAAGACAGACCCTTGACCCGGGTGTAATGGAGAATACTCACTCGGGAGGGAACAGTTTGAGCTCCTCTATGTTCCCGAGGAAGCCGAACAGAGTCCTCATCTGCTCGGACGTCGTGCTCGGGGAGACATTAGTCACCTGAATGACGTGAGTGCTGGAGTTCATTTTTCCCGACTGGTTAGCAAGCTAGCTGGCTCGATGCTAGCGACGCGCCTGGGTTTTAAAGCCAAAAGAGACGAGCTGCGAGGCGATCACGAAGAAAACAACATTAGTCGAACAGAGGAACCAGCATCTCTCCAGGAAGTAGACGGTGGTTGGTGTTTGGGTCAAACAATGAGAGCGCGAGCAGCCAGAGACTAAACCGCGACCGACACTGTCGAGGGGCAGAGAGGTGCGTTCAAGTCACGCACGTACTTATCATTTTCTCACAGTAAACACAATTGGACCCATTACAGTGGGCCAGCATTATAACATGATAATAACAATGTTTCTACCGGTTATAAGTACCAGTGGTGCAAGAAATAAAAACTGCACTATTTGAAGTACAATTACTTTTTTTTTAAAGTCATTAACATTTTCTCACAGGCCTTCAGGTCACATCTTTTGGTCGAACAGCTGCAAACTCAAATCTACTGTCATGTACATACATTCAAATCTCCTCTTCTTCTTTTTGATTAACTTTTCTTTTAAATTTCATATTATTTTGTATCTATATGCAAAGCACTCTGAGCTGCATTTATTGTATGAAAGATGCTGTACAAATAAAGTTTATTATTAAGATTCAAGTTTCAAGAAGATTTGTTGTCATTCCAAAACATGCAGTACACGAGAGGGAACGAAACAAGGTGATGACATCCTGGTAAGCAGCTAAGAACACTAGAATCTAAAACTAAGCAGAATCAGCAAATGCATACAATGAAATAAACAATATAACAATGACATCTCAAACTAAACAAGGATAAAAAAACATATATTAAATGATGTTTCTATTGCATTGATAAATGATTTTGCTTTGGAGTTAGTTAAGTTTTTGAGCCAACCATGGTCCAATACACAGCTTAGACAGGTGCAGTGTCAAAGCTTTAAACCTCTGCACATACACTTTACTTTAGTGTGAGGTAATTCATATCTTCTTATCAACACATTTTTAAATATTCTTGTGGTATTTTAAATTGAGGAAACAGGTGGAGGACAGAAACACGAGTGATTCAAGGCCAGTTCAAATCAGATGCACAGGTGCGGTGTTGTAGAGATACGTAATTATTGCATTTTCTCACTGATGTTAAAGAGAGAAAAATATTGCATACAAAGACATAAAAATATATAAAAAACCACATGGGCATGGTCCACTTTTACTCACCAACACTACCTCCTGCAACACTATTGGTTCCCAGTTAATTTGGATCTTGATTTATGGCCAATAAAATACGTAACCAAAATCTGCCAACAGGATACGATCTCAGGGGGCCGTATAGCTCACATGGTAGAGCTGGCAGCCCCATATGTGCAGCAGCCCAGGTTTGACTCCAGCCTGCAGTGCTTTGCTGCATGTCTCCCCCTTTCAGACTTGACCATGTCCAATCTCAATAAAGGCCTCTATGAAGCCGCCATTTTTTTTACAGTAGCCCAGACAAACTACACACCTTTTGAGTTTTCATGGCAACTAAGGGCTATCACAGGTTCTCTTCCATGTTTGGAAGTGAATGGTGAGGTGAGGAGTATTCAGCTGCAACATGCAACTTCATCAGTAGATGTCACTAAATTCTAACCATTGAACCTTTAAGTGGCGTTCCATTGCACTTTTCAAGTCAGAGCTCGGAAAATCCTGACATGCCAGTTGTCTGGAACGCAGCGTTATGACCTATACTGCAGCCAGCCTCCAGTTGGCTTCACTTTTGGGAGCAGCCATGTCGTCCATCTTTTATATACAGTCAATGATGAGGAGGTGGCCTTTAAAAATACCAGGGGCTGTCTTTTCCCGACGGTCCATGAAGGCATCCCGACGGAGCACTTCCGACGCATAGTGGGTGTGGTTACGCCAGCGTCACAGGATTATGTTGCTAGGCTGTTAGCTGCAGCTCTGAGGCTCCAGCTCAGCCGCGGGGTTTCCTCTTTAAATCTCACATTTGTACAAACACTCTGGCGTCTTCAGGTCGACAGAGGTTTGCACGTGTCGATTTATTATTTTAAACATTTCAACTCCGCTCGGTTTGGTGCAAACTCCGCGTCGGAGGGAAACTCGAGGAGCCGCATCTGGGCGCAAAGTCTTCGCTCGCTAGCATCCTCGTAGCCGGAGGTGTCAACAGGTCGCAGCTGCAGCAGCGGCTCGCTCACTGCGGGAGGGATTCATGCTCCGGGTCAGTGCAAGCGACGTTAAATGAAAGAGAGACTGCGTTAAACTCCAGGATGGAGAAAGTCTACTCCCGGGATTAGTTCAGAGATGTGATGGCACAGAGCTGCAGCAGGAGACAGGCGACTCTTTCTCTGTGAAGGTGACTTCTGTTATTTGTTTTCTGTGCATGGTGGTGGTGAGATGTTTGTCTGTGGAGCAGCAGTAGACAGAGAGCAAGAAAGAAACACCTCAGCAATAGCATGAAGGATTTGAACAGTCACAGTTCAATTGCATGTAAAATATATATTGTAAAACTGAGAGTTAGTTTATAATGTCACCTGGTCTTTGATTTATGACTTCGAAGTAGCATAACATTGCTAATACTTTGCAATGTTGTTGTACTAATGCTAATGCACTACTTTGTTGATGTGCTCCCAGAAATACAACATGCACAGAATCATCCTTTTTTAAATGACTTATTTATTATTTTTTGATGTACAGAGCAAAACAGTCATGGCAAAGACAAGACATGGCAGAATGATTTGGTAAAATGAAATGTGATTACCCTTGGATTTTGAGGTGGTAATGAACCCAGAAGAAACAGTGGCCGATCTTAATTTCTTTTTGTCCCAGCACAGGTTCAATTGCCACTTGGTCGTCCCAGTGGTGCATCACAAGTGCATAGGCCATATAGGAGAGTGTACATTCCTCTACAATAAAGACAGTCCACGAGGATGCAGACATTTCAATCATAATTCTCCAGTGTTTAGGATAATCTCTTCAACACACCCCAGACTCCAGTTATTATCAAATGCAACCACAATGTAACCATTGTTAAGTCAAGTGATACCAGATCTCCTTAAAATAATCATTGATTTTTACCAAATGTGGAAAAATGTCCAATACTACAGAGACTAGCTGATTATTACATCTTTAAATGACTTGTGTTATTTGTCCTAAAGTCCAAATAATCCAAAATATAGAATAATATTCAGTGTAATGATATACTGTATATTGCAAACTGCTCATTTTGAGAATCTGTAATCAGCCTCTTCCGTCTCTGTTTTGCCATGAAAATTAATTAATTGATCGCTCATAAAATAGTTGCTTAGTTATTTTCTTCAGTTGATTAATATTAATAACTTATTGTTTCAACTCCACTTTCAAAATGAAAATTGTATCTATTCTCTTCCAGGAAAATGCTGACAAGTCATAAACAATGACCATGACCTGGATGGACACAAAATGGTGAACGTTTTCCCTTTTACTCCCCCTTTCTCATGAGACCAGCAGGAAGATATGGGCGTCTTAAGACTGGTATTCAGAATCATGGGTAGGATCAGTACGTTCAGGTCCTATCAGTTCGTGCTTCTCCTGGCTGCTGCTCTCGCCGTCGTAGCTTTTTACTACTTTGGCTCTGAGAGGCAGAACTTCTCCAGCACCACAAAGAGGATCAAGCAGAGTCAGGCCAGCCACAACACCAACAGAAACGATGCAGACCTGACTGTGGACACCAGGCTCTCGCATACGACAGGGTCTGAGGAGCAGGGAGATGCAGGAGGAGAGAGTGAGGATATCAGGTCAAAGACAGGGCCCAGTGAAGCTGCTGACCAACGCTACCACGCACTCATGATGTTCACCAAGGTCGACAAGAGCCGCAGCCTGCAGGACAAGTTCCGGGTGGCCATGTTGTCTATGGTGGCGCACGGACACTTTCTGGAGGGAGAGGTGTTGGTGCTTCATTTTGTGAGCGACCCGGCCAGCAAAGAACTGGGAGAGAAGATGCTGCAAGAATTTCTCCTTGACGCAACGTTTAAGTACGAGGTAAGCAGTTTAAAGATTTGTTGGCTTTGTGCCGTTTGTCAATCTCCTCTCAATGCATAAAAGTCTCTAAAGCTGCTTTATGAGTATTTCATTTTAAGACAAAAGGTAGAATGGCACTGCATACCCCCTGCCAAGGTCCAACAGTCCCTTCATAAATCAGTATTTAAATTCACTCTATCCAAATTTTTTATTGGATCAGCACACACTCATGAATATCAGTCCTCTAAATATGCCGGATTTTCATCAAGATTCATGAATTATTCTCTGAGAAATCAACAAATATATTGAAAAATGCAATGTTGAAGAAAGATCCACACCAAGGTTTATGGGTCCTTTCTTGGGTCATGCTCCACCCCTTCACAAAGTTTAGTTGAAATCACCTGACTAGTTTTTGCGTTATCCTGCTAACTAACAATCAACCGCAGATGAAAACATAATTTCCTCAGCTGAGGTCATTTATTCTGATAAGAAACAGAATATGAAGAAATAACACTTTTCCTTATAAGTCGTTTTGGAATGCTGAAAAATTGACCTGACAAAAGACTTATGAAATTGTTGTTGACTATTTTCACGAGTTTCTTACATTTAAAAGACCAAACAGTAACAGTTTAGTGATGCAACAAAAAAAACTATTGCCAACTGATTAATCAATAATTAAAATCAGCTTTACTCTGGGTTGTGGCAGACATTTACTTTAAAGAATCCTGACCCCTTAAAAAATCCTTGTCCTAGATGTTTGAGTTGGCTGTTTGAAGTTGAAACACATGGGGGCAGTGTTGACCTGCCAAACAAGTCCTGGGGGGGGGTATCCCTCCACAACTGTTCTCTTCCTGCCAAAGCAGAGGATTATGTTCCCTCTCTGTTGGTCTTTCTCTTACATGCAATATCCTGCATCCTCCTTTGTATTCTGCACAGAGAACATGATCACAAACTTGCTTACAACTGACTCATCCCTAAATCCTCCTCCTCAGCAGCAGCAGCATCTGGTGTAGCTGTAACAGCTCTCTATTAGCTCCAACGAATCCCAGGCCTGCTCTGCTTTTGGTCCGAGGTTTGTTCAGCTTGACATATCTTGGCAGCATGGAGCCCGTGGGTTAGATTACTCACTATTCATTTCACTCTCTACACTCAAAGACTCTTCTCAGAGTCTCGTTCGGTAAAATTCAATGATGATGTGAGATCTGCAACACTCATTTAAACCGGGTCTGTTGTGTTACCAGGTGTTAGACAGCACCAGATAAGTGTTTATCCGAGCTGCAGCTAAGACTGGCACGCAGAGATGATTCCTCCACCCCTTCCTGTAATGCACTACCCAGCCAACATTAATAATCACTGATTGCTCAATAACTACAGATGTTTGCCAAGATACATAACACATCAGTGGGACAGGGATAGCACAGAGTAGTGGCAGTATTAACAAGGATCACAAACTGCTGGTCATTCGACAGATTGCAGGTTTCAGTCATGTTTTGCATCACCTTTCGGACCCACAGTCTACGTCCATTTTTATGGAACCAAAAAACACTCACAATCTTGTTTGTGTCTTTATTGAACACAACATTCAGTGCTGTTACATAAAAAGTAAACTTACATAAGCATTTTTTGTAAATTGGTCCCTTCATATCATTCCAGTCCGCTGCTTTTAAACATGGATTGAGATAATGACTCATGAAATAATTGTCTGCCACCACCAACACTTGTCTCTCTTAATGTGCACTCAAACACTCAGTCCTGACCAAGTTACAGCTGGGATGCAGGCTGCCCAGAGGCTGACGCAGGCAGTGTATCCGAGCATGTTGACATCTCGAGTCTCATTCTTTTTAATTATTTATCTTAAAGGAGCATAGTGGTAAGACAGTGGTTATGCAAGAACTGTAACCTCCGTCTCTTCCAAACAACTCAATGACCCACTTGACAGTCGACAACAGGTCTGTGGAGTCACTGCCCCAAGGCTGTGCTCATTACTGCTGAGCAGCTTTGTCACTTCACACTGGAGTCTTCAGCACTGTGTGCTCTGGTGCTAATGATAGGTTAAGCAGAGTGTCACGAGTCCCTGTTCCTTTTAGCAGAAATAACTGAATGTCATGAAACTTAGTGAAAGTAAATCAGAGGTCATCATGAGGTTTTTAAGAGCTCCTGAATGTGGGTCAATAATACTTGACATTTTATCAACGCTCCCAATGTGCAAAAACCTGCGTATAATGCACCCAAAATAAACAAGCAGCAAGTAGCAATCTTCAATCCTTCATCACAGTCATAACCCAGCTCTCCTTTTTAAAATACCTTTTTAAATTACAGCAGTTTGAGATGCTGAACTAAAAGCTGCAGAGTTACAACAATAGCAGAAAGATCAGATAAGATCAGCAATTTGTGCAAGAGTTGGGCATAAGTGTCTTTTAATTGACGTGAATTGGTAAATAAAGGGAATATAATGCCTGAAGATGTGTTTTCTGAAGAAAACATTTCAAAGCCACAAGTCTGAACCAACTTTGCGTCAACAGCTGTTGCATTGAAATTATAAAAATGCTTTGTACAGGTAGAAACCTGTAGAGACTTTGAATGATCAACCATTGTGGAATTTGTCAAGTTTGTGTGAAGACTGAGAGCGGTACAAACCCAAAGACTTCTTAAGAAGTGCTACCAGTGCTCAAGAACTCCATGGGTGGGATGGTGCATTTTAAAGGCCACGAAGCAAAGGGTCAGTGTCTTCACCTTTTATATGAAGATCCTCTGTAAATGATCTCCTGATATCAAAGAGTCTGGTTTGTGCAAATATTCAAACAACACTTTGTGAACTTTTTTCTTCTTTCTAGCAGATTTGATTAAAAGATGTGTACATTATATTTGAAAAATCTGCCCTTGCAAAAGACCCTACACGTTTCTGACAGAGAAAAAAAAAGTCAAATGAAAACAATACTGACGTTTTAAATTTAACTACATATACGGCTTTCCAATGTAATGTGTCTCATTCTGTATTAGAGTACAGGCTTAAAGGTCTTCATTTCTCCCTCTCATACTGTCTTCAGGAGAGATTATAGGGAGCAGGTCCTGCCACCAAAGTCAAAAAAGGAAATTTTGCTCGTTCCTGGCATCTCATCAGCTCACTGTGCAAATGACTGCCAAACATGTCCAGTCTCAGTCGGCTTTGTGCAGCTAGTTTTGTCTGTATGCCAAAAACAATTTTCTGCCACATAGACTGGATACCAGTGGTATCAGAAGTTTAGGTAATAAACACAACAGTATTTGTTTTATCGCTTAATAAAAATGCTGTTTTGCTATTGCCGCTCGTCATCATGTTGTAAAGTCTGTGATCTGAGAAATCTGGGTCAGAAAAGTGGAGTGGGCCTATTGAAATTGTATTCTGGAAGTGAAGTATAATGTTCTTCTAACATAACTACAATATTTCACCAAACATCATTACCCTTTTCATGTTGAATTATTATGTATTAGGTCCTTGGAACTAACTACTTCTAACCGTGGCAGTGATTCCATGTGCCTTTACATGACATTACCAGCTGCAGTCCAGGACATGACTGATATCCACAAATGGCCGAGGGCTTACCTTAATCTGTGAGGGATCATTAAATGATATTTTCCCCACCGAGGCACGTGGCTATGGAGTATGGCAACCTCCATACTGTCCATGTTTTAGATTAAGCCTCTAACATACACACTTACTGATGTCAGGCTTAACACAGACACGTCTTGATCGTCCTCTGGAAGTACTGTTTTCCTCGAATCAACATATTTAGGTCTTCTCCTGCAGGAAAGCTTGAATGATTATCAGTGCTTAATGTATTTTAAAAAAAATCCTCTTTCAGTAATCTGTTGATGTATCTCCTGTACATGGTCAGAGCAGAAACTGCTGCCTCACAGCTGTGGACGGATTAAAAGCTCTCAGGAGCAGCAGAAAATTTCCACACAAGACGACAGAATGAAAAGAATTTGGGTTGTAGTTTAATATAAGACCTTGAAAATGACATGTGACAATGTTGTACCACACAAAAAATAGTGCCTTTGGTTTTATTCTTCCTAGTACACTGTAAAGTGATCGAGAGGTTTTAGGAGGCCAGAAGTTTTCTGTACTGGGGCTTTTCACCAGTTTGTCTTTCCATTTTGTTAGTACATCACCGGTCCTGTTTCTGTACCCCTGCAGCATTGATCGAATAGCATTGATCACCTTTCTTAACACGACGGAGCTAATTTTCTTCCAGCTATAAAAGTCAGGAGACTTTTCAACTCAATTCTGTGAAGGTTTCTCATCGAATTATTAGATTTAATGTCGTCTCCAAGTGACTCACTTCAACAGAAATCTGCATTAGCAAAGACAAAGATGACAGTTAATCGCTCTCTAACTTCTCCTCAGAACTAAGTCGCATTTGTGAGCAGAGAACTGGAGGCAAGCGTCAGATTAGTTCGAGTCACTTTGGTTACTTTTGCAAATTTAAGAACCAAATGTTCTTTTTCTATCTGTACAACTCATCATTCCTGCTTTTCTCTGGTTTTCATTGTATAAACATAGAAAAGAACAAAATGGGCCAATTCAGTTTCAGTTATTTCATTTCAAAAATATTCTTGTTGCCTCCAACTTGTAAACCTGGATGATGAAAATGTACTTCAGTTGTTGACCACATGTTCTGCAAAAGTCCAGATGATTGTGTTTAGTTTTGATGAGTACTTATGCTTAGAAAGATAATTACACAAAATACAAAATTCTTTGAAAGGTCTTAATTAAGCTTGATGTGATAGCCCAGCATGCCGAGGCATTTTTTCTTCACTCAATTTTTATTGTAACACAAATGTTAAAACCAGAAAAACACAAATTAAGCCACTAACCAAAATCTCAGACAGTGATGGTCTAATAAAGCTGTATCTTATCCAGCATCCTAAATAGTTTCCCAGCTCCTCTGCAGTTTGGTGATTGTTGCACTGACTTGATTTCCCTGCTGATCTCTCCTGCAGGTGTTGTTTCATGACGTGGTGGCTCTCACACAGAAGCTCTTCCCTATCGTGGAGGCCATGCAGAAGCACTTCAGTGCCGGCTCCGGAGCTTACTACAGCGATGCCATCTTCTTCCTGTCCGTGGCCATGCATCATATCATGCCTGACAGTAAGAAAAGCACATTTCTTTGTAGTAGTGATTCAACTACAGATGTAGATTACTTCCGAATAGCTTGCTGGTTGGAGATCAGATGAAAACAGTTTGAATGCTGAAAGGGTCATCTCACCCATATTTCAAAACAATGTAATGTCTCTCCTGCCCATGCATCTGGGACCTCTTTCACCACTCCAACGCAACAGGGATGAAAGGACTTTCAAGCTGGTCATGACACTGACAGCAATATATTTTCAAAGTTAAAGTTTTATAAATGGTATTTAGATGTAAACCACACCATCAGAAAACATTACTAATTCAGATTTAGACATTGTTTAGTATTTTTCCTTATTTTACAGCCTGCAAAAGCAGACATTGATCCTGTATTTTGATATTTTGTATTTAGGCTACCCTCTTTATATTTATTTATTTAATCATTTTATTGTTGCTCTGTTTTGTACCCACAAAGCTATTGCATATCTGTTCATCCTGAAACATCCTTTCTTATCTGAATGACCGGTCTAAGGATGTACATATTGTACAGGTGTGATTTGTAAAAGAAATAGTAGAAATTCGACTTGACTTCAGCATTTTTGTTGCTATATATTGGGCTATAACTGCACATAGCAGACACCAGAACTTAAGTTGTACTAAAGGACTAATCAAAAAGTTTCCAGCTATGTTTAGATGAGATGCAGTACAGCCCCAATTTGTTTCTGGCTTGAAATGTTTATGCATTTATTTCTACTTAAAAAGAGTTTTTTTTTAAATTCACTCAGAGGCTCACATCTCTATTCCAGCACAGTACACAGCTGGAAAAGCCAGTACGGGCAGGTATCTAACAGACACGTGGCATGCTGCAGAGGCCCTGGGGAGTGCGGAAGGAAGACGTGATCTATTACTGCCACCCACATTACTGCCCCCTGTGTTGGCGCTGACTGATGGCAGCGATCTCCTCCGGCGTTCACTGTTGTGGTTCGAGTCGGTGGGTGTGCAGCATGGGGCGTCAGTCCACAGATGCACCAAACCATTTTGGCTTTTTGGGTTTCAATCAAAACAACACAAGTATATATGAAACCGGAAGTGTGTCTTGCAGAGAGCAGAGCATCATCCCATTGAAGGTTTTTTAAACTGTAGCTCAGCGTGCACGGCGAGGTGTGATGTGGAAAGTTTGGATCATAACACTTTTGTTCTTGTTAGAAATACATTTTGTGTTCAAATGGTTTCCAACTTCCAGGAAGATTTCTTTCAGCCTTCACAACCCCTGTGGTCAAATCCACGTGTTCATTGAGGTTTTCTATCGATCATCAAAGTTTGCTATTTAAACTACTCGATGAGAAAGTCATTTAGAAAGCAGGAGAGGAAAACTGTGGAGGAAAAGATGAATGTCTTAAGGCATGAAAGATTATAAAAAATCCTGCTTGGATGTGGTGTGTGAGTCTGTGGTTGTCAGTCAGCTTGTGGTGCAGTATCAAATTGCTTAGATTATAGAGATTTTATAGTGCTACTGTGTGTTTTGTATGACAGCTGAACTGGAGTTGTGTGTCTACTGTCTCATGTTGCTTCCTGGAAATCCTTATTGATCAACCAAAGTGCTTCTTGTCTTCTCTCTCCATCCAAGTGGTCAGACGTTTCTATTTAAACATTCTTTCATCTGGAAAGGGAATATTGAGTTTGTTTATTTTTACTTATCAACTTAATTAGGGGTTGAGATACGATACACAATTTTGCTCAAAATAACAGTATAATTATAATTAACAAAAAAATGTATTCACAGGTTGATACATTTTATGAAACCCATCTACCATACATCAGTGTCTCTGTAAGAAAAAATGACCTTTTTAAATGGAAAAATAGAGCTTTTATTTTAAAGGTTTCACAGACAGATAAGACGGAACTGTATATCTAATTGCAAAGACAATTGCTAATAGACACACAGCAATAATAATGCAATAATCTCATAAACTAGCCTCAGGATGAGCTACCACAAATAATCCAGGCCTCAAATATCTGCACTCAAAAAATGCCTGCATGTTAACAGAATATAATGAATATGCGTGCTAGTGTATTGCTAATAAACTTGTTTGGTGTTTGTTTAGTGGAGAATCTATTTGTTGATACATCTTTGACAGTCGAGTATTAAAGATCATGGTTGTTCTTGGATATAGCAGCTTATCGAAATAATTTTAACTTAGTTTGGAGCTTTTAAGCTCTCGTGGTCTTCATCAGCAAATGGACATTGCTTTATAATCTTGTAACCTTGAATGTTGAAAGCTCTGAAAAAAACACAAGTGGACTCTGAGAAAAGATTGTTTGGTCAAATATTAGTTAGTAATTAACAACAGCTTCTGTGACACCCCTAAAACTGTGACAGGCACTTAATGAGAGCAGTCAGGTGGAGAGAAGACTATTTTCACACCTCAGACATCTGTCTGTGGAGGACGGCAAATAAAACTACACAATGGAACAATGTCATAATTAACGATAAGGTTCCTAAGAAACTGTTATTGTTAGTGGAGAGGTGTTGCATGTTTTGCATCCCCTCTAGAGGTCTCAGCATGTTTGGACATGAGTCTCTTCCACAACCCCGACCTTTATTTTCCACCCAAGGTAAAGACGACACCGCTAATGTGTGACTCGCTTTATAAACATGAGAGGTGATGGAAGAGGGCAGTAACTGATCTGCTTGTCATCAGGGAGGCCAAAAATAACATGGCAGATAAACAGTATGCCAAACATTTTCTTTAGGGTTCTCTCTTTATTTTCTTGACAGTGAGCAAATCGATGGGTTCTGCAGCATGAATTTCTGGAAACTAATCTTCTTCTTGTGTGATAAAACCTTTTAATTGTTTAGCAGTTCTAATTCAGGATTTACAATTTTTTTTATTTATATAAGCTGAACTCTAGAATGTTGCTATAGTCAAACCTCTCATCCTGCGTCCCCACGGGTAATAACACAAATCTAACAACCTTTCCTCAGTAGTTATTGATATAACTGGGTTGAATGGAGCTGAATTTGAATGTCCCCACAGCGGCCCAGTTATACAGATGTAGTTGATCAGGTGCACGAAGGGTCTAATGTGGACTTTGATTTGGAATTCCAGAGAACTGGTTTAATGCAAGACCACCCAAAAACCCATAAAAGGCAGTGGATGTTTCGTACAGAATTGTGTACAAATGTCAAAAGATACCTCAGATTCAGGTGAGAATATTGGACCTCAGTCAATCTTTTGTCACCACCCAGGACTAATGCTACGTGGAAATATTGAATTTACCAATATTATCTGCTGGCATACTGGACAATATTGATGTAGAGCTCTGAACAAATATAACCTCCAAGTATTCACTATTGTATATACTTACATTTGTCAGTCCTTTTTCCTGTAGGTCACCCTCAGAGACCAACACAATGACTTGGGCCAGGTTTACGCACATATGGCGTCAGAAAAACACTAGACTTTATGTTTCCTGTGTAGACAGCTAGATATCACACAAGAATCTTATCTAATCTGTGAGACAGACGACAGAAAAACACTATGTGTTTAACTAACACATGTTGAAGTGCATGTGATAACTTCTCATGGAGATCCCCTGGAAACTGAGAATGAAACCCAATAAAACATCACTGACGTAAATCCCCACTTTGATTCCAAGTTTCCAAGAACAACATTAAACAACAAAGTGATTAATACCAATTAGATTTAATTTGTCAGTTAGTAGTCAAGTAACTTTCTTAAGTACTGTGTCAAAGCAATGGGGTTGGACTGGAAACGCTCCAGTAAAACTTGTATTTATCAGTGTTGGTATTTGAAACATCTATTGTCTTGAAAAAAAAGATTAAATATTCCAATAACTGGATCTACTGTGAGAAATTAAAGGGGTTTTAATAATGTAATACCATTTAGATAATTACAGTCCCTAACTTGATTTTAATTTAATCATAAAGACTCAAAGTCTGAAGCTTATTTGTTTTCTCCTCTCTTTATATTTCATACCCTAACTTGTGCCCTGAGGAGCCTGGTTAGCCGTAGACTGTTTGTATTTTTCTTGCTGCAGGAAACACATCAGAGTTTGGGAGTCTAATGATTGTGAAAATTAATTTAAAGTGTTTACCTTTTTAAAAGAGTAGCACCAGTGTGTTTTTCCACAAAGGCTGTAAGTGCTCACATCAAGACTGATATTAGGGCTTAACCAGGTTGACCCACTTTTTTCTCAGGAAAAAATGTGATGTTGGATAACATTGTCTCTGTTGTCTTGTTGCTGTGGCTGGGTGGAGGTTTAGTCAATTATGAATGTCGGATCTATCCAGAGCCTCGGGCGAGCTACAAACCATCGTAACAACGTTACTCCTGCAATAAATTCACAAACCCCCCCATGCTCCTGGCTGAGACTGATCTTATTTCTTCTCATGGGTTCCCTCCAATACTGCTGATAAAGAAAACATCAGACTATATGTAGTTAAGAGCTAATTGAAATAAAACAGTGCTATGTGGTGCCTCTACAGTGGACTTCTACTGGGTTGAATCTTATCTATGTGCATTTAGTCTCTCTTTTTTCATTCTATTTCCCTCCATCATTCCTAAATCACGCTTCCCTTAATGCTGCCTGAAAATGAAATAAGATCAAACAATGAAAACTTGGTACATACTGTATATAGTGTATTAGCAAGTCACGCAACATTGATGTCTATTTAAAAACATTTTATTTTAATACATTTCATGGCAAATGAAAATATGTCATGCTTGCTGGATGCAAACCCTCATTCTCTCACCATTTCACAATTGAACTTACCTGTCAATAAAAACCAGATGCATTATAATCAGCTGGATGGTAAACTCTGTATCAAACCCACTTGTTTTCTCCATCATCATGCTGAGGACATGATGGACAGAAACATGGAATAGGGTGGAAGCATAAGAACCCTTTGTCTCATTCTCCTTTTCTGTCAAGGCTCATATTCAGCTTTCCAAAAGCTGTTGCTTTTTTTCAAGAAAACTATGTTCCTTTTATCGCTCTATTTATCATGAAACGGAGAGCATGCTAGGTGAAAGGAGAGTCCTGTTTTCATCCTAATCACATTTTCATGATGAAAACAGGAGACGCTTCTATCAGGTTAAGAAGAAACACGTTCACAAGGATGAAGAATATTTATATTTATATTTGAAAGTGTTCTCCAGCTCTCACACAAGCAGCAAGCTGTGGGGGGAAAATTACAACTCATTTATTAACTGATCTCTGTTCTTATAACAAGAAAATCCAGCAGCAGAACAGTCACCGCCCACCATCCGACTCTACTTTTACCTCCACAACTTTGTGTTGAGTAACTGATCTAACATCAAATGCACCACATCACAATGTTATAATAATTTAAGACCCTCTTCCTGTTCTAATCCCACTAGTTAAGCCTGGTTAGTGCAAACAAACAGCACCGACCACTCAGAGATTACACTTGGTGCCGCTCTCTGTTGCCACAGCATACGAAGGCATTGTCACGACAGCTTCCTTGTTTGGAGAGCACAGAAAACAGGTCGCTGCCGTACTGCTGAGTCTTGCTTTTCTGTCGTTTGTTTCAACATCTTTTTTCAGCGCATACTTCTTGTCCACCCACGGTCTTCCGTGACAAACTGTTGGACCAGCTCATATGCTGACAGGTTGACAACTGTTGTGGGGAAATTCTATGTAGTGAAATACAATTTTCTGTTTAACTGTGTCCCAATTCAGAGGCCACCTCCTTCAGAGGGTGCAGTCTATGTGGCCTACAGAGCAGGTGGACTTCATGGGCCACAAGAAGGAATGAACTTAAATGAGACGGCCTGGTCTATGGAAGATTTCTGTGATGTGTAGCTCTGTTGCCTCGTGACAAAGCTACAGGTGGATACGAACTGCATTGCCCTTTGGTTATTTCAACACGTGCACCATTGGCCTGATACTTGCATTTAAAAGTGTCTCATCAATTGCCAGCGTCATTATCGCTTTGCAAGACCATTTATCACCAAAGTGCAATGAATCGTGGGATAGGTTGGCCTCAGAAGGAATCTTTGGAGCCTTGGTTGCTCAGGAATAGAAGAATGCATTTGTCGGAGCCTTTGCAATGGGACAGTCTATTCACTCCACTGTGATGCGATCGCTCTTCAAATACAGCCTCAAGGATGCAGCCCTTGAACTGAGACACAGATATTAAGTGAACTAGTTTTTCAAAAAGCCTCTTGTGAAGCCTCTTTTTTATTTGTTAAGATGGTGATGATATGGATGGATTCTTGCGCACAATTCTGATAATTTTTAATGGATTTTCAAGATTCATGTGATTCTTAAGCAGCTCATAATTTTTGAATAGCTCCATCTTGTAGGTCCTTCTGCAGCAGCTGCACAGATGCCTTCAAACCAACCTTTTGCGTCACCGATAAACATTCACTGCAGTAAAACTCCAGGCCGTCATCTGACAGTTTCTCTCAAGCTGACATTGCAAGTGTTTTCATCTGTTCAGTTTTGCCCACGGTGCACCTTTCCTGAGTATTTCCCATCCTTTCATCACCACGGCAACCAGCAAAACAGAGGAAGCTCAAACAATGAACAGATGAGGGCCTGAATATCCTGGTTGTTATGATTTCATCTATAAACAAGACACCATGTTAATCATTTACTGAGACACAAACTAAACTTGAAGTATTCTCAACTTTCTATGTACTTCGCTGCATAATTTATAGACACATTTGGGCATTTTCAATTTTTAGGTTAATGGTAGCATTACAGGAAGGAAAACACAGCTACATCTTGAACCATATAATGCTGCTGCTCCTTTCTCCGAGTCTTTCCTTAGTTCCTCTATCTCTGTCTTCCTGTTAGGACTCTTAGAAGTGATTAGCCGAGCCGTCACTAGATGATGTGCCAGTTGTCAAAAAAATTCAGCCTTTGAACACAGCCCACTCTGATGTATATTTACATTTTCTGGGATCACACAGCGATCAGTTTGATGTCTCATCAGTGTAATGTACATTTGATGTCTTTTTTAAATGAAGTGCTCTTCTTTCAGGTCAGACGCGCATAGTGCAGCTGGACCTGGATCTGAAGTACCGGACCAACATCAGAGACCTCTTCCAAGAATTTGATCGGTTTCCTCCTGGAGCCGTAATAGGCATCACTAGGGAGATGCAACCAGTCTACAGGTAAACGACACAACCCTTACAACAATACCATACCGTAATTAATGAAATACCCTTTTATACCAGTCAAACAATGACAGAAACACAATAAGTATAATAAGGTGTACAGTTATTTAAGTACAAGGATATTTGTACCACATTTTTTGTCAGTCTTTAAATATTACGATCAAAGATCATCACCTGGACCCAGACAGGAGGCAGACATTTATGGATAGATGAAGCATTAGACTAGTTAATTAATTATATTTAAACTCTTCTTGAAAGATTCGTCCCCACAGCATGACAACATAAACTGATGGTCAATCAGTGTTTTCTTATTAGCTTGTTCTTGCTTTAAACTCTTGGTTCTACTGTACAAACAGACTGTTTATGGGTTTGTTGGCCTCAAATTGATTAATCAGGGCTGTTATATCGTATTTCTGCACAGTTTTGGTCAGATCTTCCACATAAGCAATATCCTTTTTGTTTGTCCCCAAGTCTTTGTCTGTATTGTGTTAAACTATTAATCTCACTCACTTGTTGACCACAGATGCGTTTTGTTATTGTACTTTCAGGCCCTCATTTACACGCTCACAGTTATTTTCACAGACAGTTTCAGAGTGAGAAAGAACATCAGACATCTTTCATACAAACCGATTCACAAGAACCTCAAAAGTGTTACCAGTCTGTCATTTCTCATCAGAATCTTAAAGAAGTATTTCACAGAAACCATGTGTAGCATTTCTGATGGTCTATGTTTCCTGCTTCATCCGCCTCTCCAATTATTAATCAAGAATAGAGAAGCAACCAGCCACAAATCCCAAACTGCTCAGTTGTGCCCTTTTTACCTTCATGGAGACATTTGCTGTGAGATAGTTTTTGATGGTGCAACACTGACAGACTGATTTGATGTTTTCATGAATATGCTATTTTAAGTCCTGCATGGGAGTTAAATAAATTACGATTTGGCAGGAACTGAGCAGAGAGGCTTCTCCTCATATAATTCAGATGTGCCTCCAGTCTCTGTCAGACCTGTCTGGTGTAAATAAACAATCTGCTCATCGTCTCAGCCGACAAACTCTGGCAACACGCTCATAGCACCAGCATAACCTCATATAACTGGTTGTATTATCTGACGAATTTGTTCATCGATAACTTAACATCAATTAGTTAAACTCAATTCAGGTCACAGCGCCCCTTGTTGCCATCTCAGTCCATTATTTTCATCTGAATAAACACAACTCATAATTTAGCAATGTGTGCATGGAAGTGTGTGTCAGAGTCACTGCAGCGGTTACTAAAAGATCTCAGAGTTGAGATTATTGTTATTATCGATTTCCAAACAACTGGATATCTCATGTGGAGATCTGGTTTGCCTCTGAGGTTTGTAGAGTTACTGCTGACCACAACTTCTGCTTTTACTGGAACAGTAGGTCATTGTTTATCAGTCAGGAAGTTGTTGAGTAAGAAGTTTTGGGAATCAGCCGCATGATCCTCTGATTTTCAGCTGTCCCATCACCCATTGAGCCACTGACTCAGGTGGGAGTTTTCAAGTAACAGCTGCTTGCTGGTAGAAATTCTAATGTTTTACTCATAAGTAGCCTTGTAAATGTGTTTGTAAGTTTCCCTCTGTAATTTCATGAACTAACACTAGCGCCATATTCATTGAACTGTAACTAAGCATTTTTTAAATAATAAAATAACCTGCTAACTCTTGC